TCCTGCATTTTCGACACTGGCGCTCATTTCCTGTTTTCTTCTTCCATCACAATAATTTTCCTGTCATTTTGATTTTTTGAAAAATAAGAGGCAGAGCAGTCAGCTCCCTCTGGTACAACATAACTACATAAATCTGCAACACCTTTGAAAAAATACGAGTAACAAAAATATCTATTTTACTGCTTCAACTTACCATTGAATTTGTCAACAGAAAATGATCCAACAATTTTAATAAGAAATTCCTCATTTAAGCAATTTGGCCAACATTCATTGGTTCCAACATCTCAAATATGAAGAATTGCTATCATCTCTGCTTTAATTTATTATATATTTCTTACATGATTCTATTTCTGAACTCCACACTTGACAATCAGCTCTAAACTGTGCATAAAAACAGCAAACACCCACATACACTGACTTTTAAATATAAAAATTGTTACTGCGTCTGATTAATGTTGTAAACAACAGCAGCTAATCCAATAAAACTATTTTGTGTGTGTGTGCTGACAGCTGAGGCTGGAGTGTTGGTGTATGAAGAGCACGGCTGCTCTACCTCAGACAATTCCTAGGAAGCAATGTACTACTAGCTGGTTTTGGAGCCGGTTCAGTCAAAGCAATGGGGAGGTTAATGGGAGGCAGTGGAGGTGGGGGCAGGGAAGCTGGAACCCAGTATGACATCATCTCCCCTGCCATGATGTAATGTACCAAAACAAGAAAAAAGCTCAGGTGTTTGTCTGCGCAGCCGGTCATTAACGTCTCCAATAATTACTGAGGGGGGGGTGGTGGTGGTGGTGGGGGGGCTCATCGGTCTGGGGAATATCAGACCTCCGGCACAGCCCCGCTCATTTAAAGTCTTTTTTTTAACTGACTAATCACAAGCTAAATGTAAAGTGAAAGAGGCGGGGGACCATCAATCTTAGAGGATTGTGACAGCCACATGAAAACCCCCCACTTGAGAATAACAACAGTGCACTCATGCTCAGTAGCAGTGTGTGCTAAATGCATGAGGCAGAGGGGGGCAATGCCTCCTCTGTCATTTGTGAACAGTCTGTGAACCCAGCATGGCTGCAGCTGTTCAATGCATTCATAGGCTCGGCCATGTGATGGGGTTATGCTTGTTGATGCAAAGCATTAGACATAAAAACCTCATTACGTTACATTATCTTGTACAAACACATGACATACACACAGGCAAGACTGCTTCAAGGGGGGCAACAATAAAACCCATCACTACATAGCAGCATTGAATAGCAACCATCTTCTCAAACCCCTTAATTCAGCTGTTTACATTCATGAAAATGGCACGTGGCACTCACATTTCAAGCTTTTTGTTGGTGACTTTAATCAATACAACCTATAGAGGACACAGCAACATAAACAACATAACCTTTTTCTGCATTTTTCTGTTTTTATCAGGACTCAGCTGAGAAAAAAAAAAGCAGTCCTCCAGCATGGCACAGCAGAAGAAAAATGATTTCATCATCCATGCAACTGCATTTGCAGTGAGCTGCATTCCAAAAAATAAACCAACCAACCAACTTTGTCATTTCTGGACTGCATGTCTGAGGCTCACTTCGTCACCCAAAATTCTACGTTTTACCGTGTCTCTTACCTGCACGGCTTTAACAACAGCCGACATGGGGTGAAACAGAATACCAGCACACAGTGGCGACATGTTTGTTTTGATTTATGTCCAATGCCAACATTTATGTTTTAGATTAGTGTTCAGAGAAAGGTTTGTGTGGTTGGTTTGTCCATTTAGCACAAATAATCCCTGTGAAGTAAGTGATCTAAGTGATGACGTGTTGAATGGCAGTGTGAAATGTCAATGGTGATTTTTATAATCTAAAAGGAAAAATCTAAGGCTCCATTTTTTTCCACCAACAAGCTGCATGAAGCCAACAATGCACTAGTCCTTCTCTAAGTAGCTCACAACTTCTTTTCTGTCTGTAGATATTCAGGCCTTGAAGTCTTTATAAACGGTTCCATTTCAAACAAGTGGACACTGCACATTTGTTGGGGACTGTTTTCATCTCAGGATACCAAGAAAGCAAAGAAGAGACACAAAGTCAGAACATTAGAAAAAGGAAGCATCACGTGGACACACATCTTCTCATAGACATACTGTATAATGGCCATTGTGGGATGGAACCCAACATACTCCGTTTAGTGATCTGTGTCTACCCTTGTTCACTGAATTTGTTTGGACGCCAACAGAAGTCTCTGAGTAGAGAAAACACAGCACTTCTGACTGCCAGCTCTGCGCATTAATCCTTGATGTCTGTACCATTATAACAGCTCTAAATAGCATTGTTAGAAGGAGAAAGATGATCTAATAAAGAGACTACATTTTCATTGCTGCTACAGCTCAAGGGATTATTTCATTTATCAAGCTGTTGTCACCTGCACGCTGCTCTGAAAATAATTTGCCAGAAACACAGGCAGCCAGGCACGTTTAAAAGATTACACTTGTAGAGTACAAAGGGGCAAAACATCTGTCCTCCTCCCTGGGCCTGCTACAAAGTGCATAAAGTAAATGAGAAGATATCTGCAAAGACAGGAAGCAGCAAACTAAGACTGCTGGCAAGTGAGTGATGAAGCTGACGATTAACTAGAAGCTTCCAGATCAGTGTATACAGGAACTCAGGGTTCACGTAGAACTGGTGTGTCAGGTACAAATGGTTCTCTGGGTGAACAGTAATTGCTCTTGTGGAATCTGATGTGTTAATTGAGAGCAGCTTTTACAGTTGAACTGCTCATCGTGTCGTGGAAATTTATGTAGAGTAAGCAGACACTACCTCGAGCTGGGTTCTGATATGTTAATGTACAGTATCGGTACAAACTCAGTGCTACAGACATTTATATATGGAAATATTATGTGAAGGCTTAAGAGAAGTCAGTCTCTTTTTTAATGTCTTTATGTCAGATGACTCTTTCAACTGAACTATGGTCTTTCATCATGCTCTTTTTGGCATTAAGATGCATACAGGGCTTGTGCACCCAACATGAAGTAACACAACTCTAGAAATGTTATTTTTAGGTTTACGCCAAACATACTTTAAACCCACTTTAACCAAAAGAGTAGACTGGGCATTGCTATTAATAGTTCGAGTATCTACTGCAGCTTCCTGTAGCGCCAACACTGAATAGATCAAACAGTTCTGCTATCAATAGTGGAGAGAGATTTTAATCTAATTTAAGCGACACCAACAACAAAAACTGTGTACTTTATCTTCACTGTGCAGGCTCATTACCATTGAAATAAATGTCACCTGTCAACCGTTTTGAGAATATTCAAGTTCTCTGAATGTCAAAACTGACATGAAAAGCACATCAAATGTCAGTAAGCGTGTTCTTTACTACTGGCTGAAAAATTAACCACATTCAGTTGTTTTCCTCGCAGCTTCAGCTGTATGATTACTCTCCCTGATAATATCAGGTCTACTTCCATCAAAGCATAATGCATAATGTTTGATATTGTCCTATAAATAACTAGAAATGCTGATTTTGCTTCTGGTGTGTGCGCTGGTCAGATGCTCAGGAGTTCTATTTAACAAAACAAATGAAATGTGTAGTATATGCACTAGAGAAAATAAAGAAATGTGTCATCTTACCGTCAATCAGGTACTGTTAACTGCCTTTACTTTTGAAATAGCCTAACATAAACACTATTAGTTGATCAATTGACCATGTATAAATGTACTATTGGTTAATTGTTTAAGTCACTTTTTAAGCAACAATGCCAAGTATTCACTGGCTCCAGTTTCTCAAATTTCTTAGTCTTGTAGTGAGCTGAATATCATTATTTTTAAGGCATTTTATTTATTGCTTAGTTGAGAAAATATCTAATAAATAAACAAAAAGACTATAAGAATCGTTAGTTACAGCCCCAAGAAGCTGCCCTGAATAATTTTGAGTCCAAACAACCAAAGATGAGAGAATGAAGGAGGAAAGAAAGTAATAACAAAAAGTGCACAATTAACCACTTTCATCGCTGCAGCTCCTGCACCATGTCTATTCAACACCGAGGCTTTTGTATCTGTGCACAGCTGAAGCAGAGCAGGTTGTAATAAACTACAGCTCTAAAAATAGGAGCTCGGCTTTTCCTCAACCGAGAGCGGCAGGTTCGTTCTCTTTGCTCTCGCACTTCTCAGCAGGTCTGACTGCTCAACGCCTTGAGCTTTGATCTTTCCAACCCCTTCTTCGTTGTCCATTTAAGCTCGGACACTACAGGCCTCCATGCTGAAATACTGACATGTAACACACTGATCAGAGAATACTGATACTACAATATTTTTACATGCTTAATACCTTTCCCTGCGGTGCAAATGTAATATTGGGATGAGAGTCTTTCAAAGCCATCATAATCAAACACTTAGCACATTAACACTGCCTTTAGTAGAACATGTCAACGCTGACGCAAGTCCCAGCAGAACCACACCCACACAGTGAGGATAATAATAATCCAAAGCACAAAAAGACAGTCAATACCATTATCAAGCACATCAGCAGAGTTAGTGTTTCAGATTTTATTCACCCCAATCAGCTAAAATGCTCCCACTTTCACAGTTTATAGGCCCATAAGCTGTACCGGTGATGTTTATCACTTTTCTGTCGCCATCTGACGACGTGATGACGTCAGCTGCTTATTTTTCAGATCAAAAACAGGATAAGACGTATAGAAGCAGAAGATGGATGTTTTTCTTTTTATAAGAGCTGTTTTGGGAGAATGTGACTATGAATTCATGTTGCTGTGGATATAGTGGTAACTGATTTAGAGTGTGGCATAGGCTTCATTCTTTATCAGCCTCCACGCCAGCAAATGGAAGGTATTTATTAAAGTCTATCAGTGGCTACAAATAGGACAAATGGGAAAGAGACAGATAAAGACCAGCAGAAGCACAAACACAGACAGCTTGAAAACAGAGAAAAGCAGAACACACACACACACACATATATATAGTAACTACAACAGACAAAACTGTTCATAGATACAGTACCTGAGGTTTATTGCATTCCTTGGAGCCAGATTAAGAAGAGAGCCATGAAAAGAAGCAGAGGAGATGAAAGTTATCAAACATGCTGTGTACCAGTCAAGGATGTGAGAAACTGGAGGTGAAAGCCTCATTGACAGATTCAAATGCATCGTTCTCAACCAAACTGACAGCTTGTCCTGTAGCATTCATTACTATGAAGTTACTTCCCAAGTTACGGCAGAGAATTCCCCTCTTTTTGAAACATGTCATTTGTATTGAAAGCAAACATAATATCGACCTACCGGCTGAATCTTTCTTCACGGTTCTAGAACTCAACATATTAATGGATTTCCAAGGTGAAAATTCTACTTTCTCTGAGCTCTTAACCAAGGACAGGTAGGGAACACACAGTCACGCTTTAATATTCTGATTTGCACAGCCATTCTTCCACTGAGCTGCCTGCTGATTACAGAAGAGATCGCTTTAACTTCTCCACCTCATTACCACCGCAAGACATTTTCGACCTCTGAGCAGACAGTAAGAGCCCAATTATAAAGTGCTTGTGTAGTGGTTTCTAAAAAAAAAAAAATAAAAATAAAAATTCATGATATCTTTTCTAAATTAACTTTGAAACCTTTGGTTTAATTACCTCAAACACACAAGACCATGGTGGAGACAGCTTCGAGCCTGTTATCTTATCCCAGCAGTTAATGTTAGCTGTTCTCTAATTTAAAGAGCTAGTTCATTATTTTGGGAAATATGTTTATTTGCTTCCTTGCTGGGAGTCGCATAAGAAGATCACCGTCATAGCTGTGGTGGTTGAAGTTGGTTAGCTTATAACAAAATCCTCCTACAACACCTATAAAAAGACAATTTATGGTTGTGATTTATTCTTGTAAGACCACACTTTTTATAAACTTGATTTTTGTTGTAGAGGACACTATTCACCCTCTGTCCCCGATTAAGGTAAAATATCTAACTGCAGTTTTTCTAATCAATTCTGAAACTCTTGTTTGACTTACATCTCTAATACAACCCTCTTATTCTTCTGAATGAAAAGAAACAGAGGAAATAATCAAATTTTCAAATGGAGATATATCTAAAATAAAAAGAATACATACACTTAGAAAGACAGTGCACAAGCACTGGTGGTTTATGGCTTTGAACTTTAGCTGCTTGAGCGAACACTACATTCAACAGCAGAATGACGGACAATTAAAAATGGAGTTGTGAAAGGAGCAGTCCTGCAGTTTGGGAAGCCTTCACCTGCGCTAAACTACGTCTACTAAATGTGAAACTACAGCAAGTAGCTGATTCGTTTAGATTAGCTACAAGTACACCTGTAAACTACAAATGTGTTATTTCTGAATGAATTACACAAACAAATGTTACAGTAATTAGTAAGCTTTAGAGATGCAGACAGGCCTTCTGCCCCGACTGGTTGGGGTGAGTGGATAAAGGAGAGAGAGAAAAAGAAGAAAAGCAACAAGACACAACAAACACAACAACCAACAACTGTGAAGGTTGATGTGGCTGGTGACTGCTCGTCAGAGACGTAGAGCTCCAGAGCCAGGGCTGCCTGCAGAAAGGTACAGGGAGAGAGAGAGGACACACTACTGGAGAGAGGAGACACACAGTTAGTGATGAGTAATGGTGGCATATAGATGCATGGAGAGGGGAGGAGAGGAAAGGAGAGCAGAGCAGAGCAGGAGGGGAGAGAAACTCAGAGCATCATGGGGCCCCCCCAGCAGCCTAGGCCTATAGCAGCATAACTAAGGGAAGGCTCAGGGTCACCTGATCCAGCCCTAACTATAAGCTTTATCAAAAAGGAACGTCTTAAGTCTAATCTTAAAGGTAGAGAGGGTGTCCGCCTCCCGAACTGAGACTGGGAGTTGGTTCCATAGGAGAGAAGCTTGATAGCTAAAGGCTCTGCCTCCCATTCTACTTCTGTGGACTCTAGGAACCACAAGTAAACCTGAGAGCAAAGTGCTTTGTTGTGATGAAGCTCTATGAGGTCTTTAAGATACGATGGAGCCTTGTAATTAAGGGCTTTGTATGTTAGGAAAAGGATTTTAAATTCTATTCTGAATTTTACACGGAGCCAGTGGAGAGAAGCTAATATGGGAGAAATATGATCTCTCTTGCTAGTTCCTAAAGGATGATGCTGGTTTTGGCGATACTGCGCAGGTGAAAGAAGGCAGTTCAAGAGAATTGGTTTATGTGTGAGTTAAAGGACATGTCCTGGTCAAAAATGGCTCCAAGGTTCCTCACAGTAGTACTGGAGGCCAGAGCTATGTCATCTAAAGTAACTATATGATTAGATATCAGATTTCCAAGGTTTCTAAGTAGATGAGTGAGCAATGTCATTGTCACGGACACTCCAACAGTGAACATTGCTGATAGACACACTGGTGGTTGTGAGGATTAAACCTGCAACCTTCTGATTACAGGATAGCCTCGCTAACCACCAGGCTGCTCGGGTGGAGGGAAGGAGTAAAAGGAGTATTGATTGTCTGCCTCCTGTTGCTTGCATAATTGTAGAACAGCTGGCTGGGGCCTTGGATGCCCTACTGGGCACTGAGTAAACCCACAGGAGGAATATTACTCATCTGCTCAGAGAGTCTGGGATGGTGTTTGGGGCTGGGAAGGAGTTTAAAAGGATGGGATTGGAGAAAAAGAGGATGCCAGGTAAAGAAGACAGTGGAAATGATCATAGTTTGTTATGGATAAAAAAGAGTGTTCGGTAAACACTGGCCTTATTGTCAGCCACAGACCTGCAGAGAGAGAGAGAGAGTGTGTGTGTGTGTGGTGTGTGTCAAGTTGACAGCACAAATGGCCGTTGATGTTAGAGGAAGAGATAACGAGTGCAAGATAAAGTGTAAAATAGAGAGTGACTGAGAAATGGCCATTACAAGCTTTTTGCGAGGGAGATTACGGAGCTCAACTGTGTGTGTGTGTGTGTGACAGTGAGAGAGACACTTGAAATAACTGGTTTTCATTCTGAACAAGGCACCCAAGTGTTAACCCAGTGCTCTGAGCACACAGGAGATGTGTTGAATCCAAAACACTGTCCTCTTTCACTGCCCTGATCGATCCAGGACACATCTATGAAAAGAGAAATGTATTTTTAAATATCTATTCCCATTCACTAAAGCCAGTACATAACTTCCTTTAGACGAGAGATAAAACTTGGCTCATGGTGAGATAGAGGTAAGAACAATAAATCACTGTTGACAAACTGCAAACTTAGGCTAAATGAATAGTCTGTGTATTAGTCTAAGTATACAACACATTCTACTTACCTAAGTCTTCCAAATAATAGTAATTGCCCAAAGAGATAGAAATGAATCTGTTTATTTGCATGAGCATTGCTCTTAAGGCCACACTGTTTACATATTCAAGAAATAAAAGCATTAGATTCAAACCCTGAGTCAAATAATCTTAACTCCATATATGTAAAAGCTCTGATTCAGGTCACAGTGGAGAGTGTGGGCTGGGGGGTAGGTGTGTGTGTGTGTGTGTGCGCGCGCGTGTGTGTGTGTGTGTGTGTGTGTGTGTGTGTGTGTGTGAGCAGTCCCAGCAGGGGCACCACTGCTGGGTTAGCATTACATTTGTATTTTAGGTATGAAGCTGACACTCTCCAGAGAAACATACAATGCCTGAGAATGTTCAATCTGTTACTCAAGGGACTACAGCAGCTCACACAGCTGTTCACAGACACACTGCTCTCTGCAGGGGATCGAACCTGTGACCTTGCAGACTACCTGTGAAGGCCGCTGTGCTACTGGCAAAGATGACATATTTCAGGATCATGATTTAATACAGCACAGAGGACAAAGGCTCACACCGGTTTCATCTCATCATGCTCACAAGGCCATTAAGCTCTAAACAAAGAGGTTGGTGCTATTTTTACAATAAAAGTGAGCTCATCTGAAATAATCTCATCCTCTTTTCTTAATCACCATATGAGCTCAGTATGACAATAATCATCTCAACCTCAAGTAAACCTGTACTGTTTGCAGTATTCCTCATATACAGGAAGCTCTCAGGCCAGCGAGTCCTCTGATATTCTGGTGTCTTCTCATCAGTGACTAAGCTGAATAAAAACTTTGCCCGCTGGAGAGATTTCATTTCTTCAATGCTAAGTTTCTCCTTGGTGCATTTCTCACCATCTAATTATGCCTTGGGGTAAGGGGGAGGAAAATCTGAGCGGTGCCTGGCATTCTAAATGCTAGAGATTAGCTTGCTATGTCAGCTTAGCATCTGACCAGATTCTGCTTCTCTGCTGCTCTGCCACCCTCCACCCCTCTGTCAGTAGCAGCGCACTGCACTCTTGTTAACTTAGCTCCCTTCCCTGCTGTACCACTAAGTGTGCTCGTGCAGAGCCCATTTGGGACTGCTGGTTGCCATGGCACCCGCGCCATCCTTCCCACAGGAACGATACTACAGCGAGTAGAGTTGATTGTGTGATGGGAGATGTGGGGCCATGAGAAAGTTCAGTGCAGCCTTGTGAATCAAAAACACAGCGAGTCTAAATTTAGGAAACAGGGTGGGGCTGCACGGAGGCAGGGGGAAGATGACGTTTGCCGCAGTTTTCCTTTTTAAGCATGATAGTTTCAAAGTGTTCTAAAAAGAACCGGGTGCTCTGACAGAACACCCAAGGGAGTGTCAGGAATGAAGGGAATGCAGTGAAATTGTGCAGAATAGGAAAGGATGTGTGCACCAACTGCATGTTGGGTACATTATTAGCATGAACGTGCTTTGCTTCCTATTCCCAGGGAAAGAAAGCACAGAGGGGAGAAGGTCTGGTGCAAAACAATAGGCAACTAACTGTGCTGGAGTTCAGTCCTCTGACATGGGTAAGGACTATGTGACTGTCACTGGATGAACTTTTAAAAGTATCAGAGCCACAAATGGCATTTTTCATGTTCTCAGCATGTATCAAATATGAATAATTAACACTGGTTTTGGAAAACTTCTACCAAACACCAGCTCTACTGTTAATGGTGTAAATGAGAGTTTTAGGGAATAATAACCACTGTAAGACTCATAAAAGGAGGGACCATCTGAACCCACAGCCTTTTCCCAGATGCTCTTCCTCATCCATTTTCTCCCTCACAGACAACAAACAAGTCACACTGTCATCTTTAGCTGCTTCAATCTACCTTATCTACCGTATTGTTCACTCTTGCAAAAAAATTAAAGGCTCTGCTTCTTCATAAATAAAATCTATAGGTTGTGCTGAAGTTAAGGTAAAGCTGACTTTTGTTAAGTGCAAAACATCTTGTTTCACAAGTTTCCTTTAACTGCATGAACTAGCATGAAAAAACTAAATTAAACTACGACACTTTGATCTGAAACTGGTCAGGTAATAAGTGCCTTATAAAATGATGCTACTGGCATATTTTTAAAGACATCTCAAAAATCTGTCAAATTCTTAGGTGTATTCTGAGCAGCAGCTCACAGTGGTCTGCATTCAAACCATCCTATGTCATTGCTGCATCAGAAACGGTGCTGTAAGGCAGCACCACACAGTTAAAGCAGTTGTTTCGAGCCTTTTTTTGCTTGTGGCCTCTTTATATAGCTACAGCTACAGCTGCTTGTGATCTCTCATCACAGGTACATGTCTGAAAGTTGTGAGCAAAGCAGTTGAGAAGGGATTTTCCTTTTACAGACAGGACAGAAACAAATATTAGTCAAAAGTCCAAAAGGTAAACTGAATTATATGTGGTACAGTTACATTTTTCATCACTCATATCTTTGTTAGTGAGCTGTGTGTTAAGGTGCAAATGCTGGACACAAAGGGCAAAACCATAAATAAAGTTCACATGGCAGCACTTGGCTATAAACAGTACAGTCAAACAGGAGTTCGAGGAGACAGGAATAGCACAGACAAACTATTCAGGATGCTCAACAAACTACAAAAATGCTTAATAATACAACACACTGAAGCCACAAAAACGTAGCGACTCTAATCTAGCAAGGAAGGGTAAAACAACAATTAAACACTAAAAGGAAGGAGACTTGGAAAACTAGCTCAAAGTGCACTTGTCTTCAGGACATGGAGCATCACGACACAACATCCTGCAACACCCAGGGTCAGCTAAGGCCACCGGCAACAGAGGACATAAATTTTCAGTTATCGTCTGAGGCAGGTCTGCACAACAGGTTCTGAGGAAGGAGCTCGACCAAGCAACAGAGCACAAACACACAAACACAGCAACAGAGCAGCACTGAGCTGCCTCTGGAGTGCACAGCGATCCACCGCAACGAGAATACACACAAAACTGTCGCACAGGATACAACTCACCGTGTGGTATCCCCGGGCTACGGGCGGCTTTCCGGTGGGGTAGGGATCCACAGTATCAATGATCGTCTGTCTCTCCCCTTTCTGGTTGATCTTCCGAAAGCGGCGACGGGACTGTCTATGCGAGGCTTGTCGCTGGAAATACTCCTCATTTTCATCCATATAGTCCACCTGGAAATGATAGGGAGGGAGGGAGAGAAATTGGAGGAGTGACTGTCATCCTCTTCATTTACCCCCAATACGCACACACACTCAGGCAAAAAACCCCACCCTCCTATACTCCTATACTCCTGTTCTCTATCTCTGAATCCACCACCTCCTCCCTGCCTTTTGTCCCTCTCATTGTGTAAAAATAGAATTGTGTGGGGGCTGCCCAGTGCACACCTACATCAAAAGAGACAACGAGAGGGAGAAACAGGGGCTTGAGTGAAGAACGTGGAGTGGAGGAGGGCAACAGCGAGAGGGGAGCAACGAGGAGCAGCCTGACTGACTGACAGATAAACAGAGATGGAGTCTGGTGGAGTAAAAGACGAATGCAGAAATGCAGACACTCTCTCTGTGTCTAAACATATCAAACACTACATATTAAAACATAATAAAATCCATGCTGTCATTTGTAATGAATAGAGAGGAGGGAAAGTGTCAGAGAAGTCATATTCTACAGTTTATAAAAGTATTTCTGGGTAAATGCTACTTAAACGACACCATTCTGTTACCTGGCAGCTTTGGGCCATGATGGAATGACACATTTCAGTACTGTTTTTCCTCTTCTCCTGATTTTTGGGCACATGCCTTGTCTCCTCTTGCTGCTACTTTAACTGCAGCTTCACATTTCACACGGTTCAGCCTTTGGGATAACACAGCTAAAATCTCTCTCTGCTGCACCAACTGCTGCCATGACAACGGCAGGGGAGCTATGTGTGAATGAGAGCAAAAGTGTGATTGTGTGCTTAATTGCTAATCTCTGAGCGGGGTCTGCGTGCATGTGTACAGTACAGACATGTGAGAAGCTTATTTTACTTTAGTTTGACATGTAAAGTCTCATGTTTGTAACTGGTCTGCATGTGTGCACCTCAAACAAGGGGGGGGATCCATATGTATCTATATGAAGCACAAAACTCCCCTCAGTAATCACAGGGTGGGTTGGCAGCTATAAAAGCAAAAGAGGTAAGGCCATGAAGTGTTTGCACCGAGCAGAGGGTGTTATTTACTGGGGGTTTGTGCGTGAAGGATACAGTAGAAGCTCAGTTAACAGAAGCTCCCCATCTCCAACACACATTCACAGATACACAGCAATTACAGCAACTGAAAGGGAAATTACTGAGATGTGCTGTGACTGCATCAGTGCCCACCAGCTGTTATTTCACGCTGATACAATGTGGGTTATGTTTGATGTCTCCCTTTAAAAAAAAAAAAATAAGACAGCAAATGGTGGATTTGTACATGCTAGAAAGTGGGTGTGTAGGTGCATGTGTGTGATTTTAAGGTGGCAATATCTGTTACATTAGAAACCAAATCAAAATATGGAACTTAGCACTGGCCAGTCACTTTGCATCAGAAATGGATATACTTTACTCACAGCTAAAGTAAAAGGTATGTAGATATATGCACTGCTCTGTTCAGTGCTCTCAACACTGTTGCTTGCCTGCAGTTGGTCAATAACTGAATGACAATTATGTTAATTATGTTTTTCACATGTCTTCTGGTGTATTTCATTTCTAGGGTCCTATTTTCTCTTTCAGGACAAAGTAGTTTGAAGGTCATCTGTGAAACATTATTACATCTGTGTGCCAAAGTTCATTCCAATCTTTAAGGTAAGACTTACTGTAAATGGTAAGTGGACTTATACTTGTATGGCACTTTTCTATGTATTGAAGTGCACTCAAAGCATTTTCATACTATTTGCCCAATCACCCATTTGTACTCACAAGCACACACACACACACACACACACACTCGCACACTTGGGATTCATCGTCTGTCTCAGGGACACTTTGTCTTGAGGCTCTACCGCTTGAGCCACAGCTGCCCAGAACAAAATGAGATGAAGTGACATCTAAATCTCTCATCAGATATTTGATTGACATCTTCCTGTTCAGTTTGTGAGGAATAATTGGGAGGCTAGTATCATCAAGCAAAGCTGCAGGTATTGTGATTGGCTTCTGTTCAATTCATGATTGTATTTTCCTTCTACCTCTGCTTCTGTGCCTCATTGTGACAACGTTTTGCTGTGAGCCAACATTTGATTTGCCATAAAACTGGGTCAGAGTTTGTACCAGTCTTAGACTCAAGCAATCATCTATATGCTGGAAGTACTCCAGCAAAGACAGCTGTCATAAACACATCAACTGGAGGCATTTACACAGATTAATATGAAATATTACGAGCCCGTATTTCAAATTCTAACCTAACCATTCTGTGCACATGAGCACGGTTTGCTCCTACTGTATGATGAAATAACAAAGTCAGTGACTATAATCACTTTCCGGTATGCTAACATAAGAATGAGATCGAATAAGCTTTAGAAAATATGACTTTTTTTGCTAGATCCATTTATCTTCCTCATTTCTCTGTGGTTGTGTAACAGGAAATGTTTTGTCAATATTAAAATGACCATTCTATTTTGTGTATGTTATGTGGTGTTTTGAGTGTGTATCTGTGTGAGGCAATGCCTTTGACACTTCCATGCATGAGACTCACCACAATCATCTCCGATGGTTCCAGGACAATGCATTCACATCCGCGTCGCAGGCTGCCAGCTGAACGCTTCCCAAAACTAAAAGAGAAAAAAAAACCAACATGGTGAAAAACCAAAAACAAACAACAAAAAAACCCTCAGGAATATAATTATTAGACATCTGCCTAAAGAAAGTAGACACAGTGATAACACATTATCTGTAAATGAAAGCCCCTTGGCATTTCTTCAGACCTACAGGTTTGTCTCTACTGACCATTTAAAACATGCAGAATATCAGTAGAAACTGTGACACAGATCAGTACTGAATGGACAGTGCCTCCTTCCAGCTGCGACCCCTCCCTCCTGAAGGGAAACACTTGTGTCTGGAAAAGTCAACTATCATGATGTCACAACCTCGCTCCTAATGGAGAGGGGAATGTTAAAAGCAGCCAAGATTGGAATGCTTCAAAGAACGGCAGAAGCCATGGAAATTGCGAGCATGGGGAGATCCAGTTTGTGGGTTGGGTGAAGAACGCTGCCTTTGTCCAGCATCCCACCTCAGTGAAGGGACACAAGAACTCCTTGTTTGTTATGTTTAACCTCTTGCAATTAAGACCGTGATGCACATCTTGTTAGTTTGCTGAATGTTATGCAAGATAAACTCAAGGAGCTCCAGAGGAGCAGCCTGCTGTTGAGTTTGTGTTAACTCCCCTCGTGTGCCGTTTTGCTTTATTTTGGCGACTGTGTTTCAGTGGGTAGAGCGGTCATCTCCCAAGCAGGGTTGGAGGTTTAAATCTCAGTGCCTGCGGTCCACATGTCGAAGTGTTGTTAGGCAAGACACTGAACCCTCAAGTTGCCCCCGATGGTTAGAGCCATCGGTTGAGTTAGCGCCGCAGATGGCTGCCATTGGTTCTGTACCGGAACAAATTCCTTGTGTGTAACATATTATTATTATTTAGACTCACAAGCTGGAATTTTAGGGCGGGTGAGATGTTTCTCTTTAAATCTTAATTTACGCCAAGGGGCACTAGAAGGAAAATACAGTGCATTTATTTATTCAGAATTTTCAGAGCTGAAATTATTTGTTGATTAATCAGTGAGTCAGTAAATAAAATAAACGGTCTGACAATTGACTCGAGTTATTGTTAGGGCAAAAAATTGTTACAAAAGGTGAGTATTTCCTAGTTTCCTTCCTGTCTTTTATGATATTAAACTGAATAACATTCGTTTCATACAGCTGTTCATATATACAACAATCTGAAGATTGCTAGTGTTTGTTTCAAGTCGTAATTCTTTATTGATTCTCCATCCATGAACTGGGTTTAGTGAGATATCTATCCAATTCCTCAAAGAGATTAAGTCTAGTTGTAGAAAGTTCTCCTCAGTGCTCACAGATGAAGTGCATCCTGGGCAGTAAGTGTGGCCTCGTGCTCCAAAGCTGTGGAGAAGCCAGCTTTCATCAGTCATGCTAACAGGTGCAGACTACAGGCACAGAATGGGCTTGTGGCTACATGTTGTGGATACAAGTTGGTTAGACTGGGACATCAACACCAGCCAGCTGCAGAGAGCTGCTGATACTCTACCTGCCGCTTAGGCAAAGCCCAAAACATTTTTGCAGTCCCCTTTATTTTCTAAAAGTCTTTTTATGCGTGCTCTGCTTTTCTCTTGCTGCCTCCTTTCACAGACAAGCCTTTGTTGGGTTTTTTGTTTTGTTTTTTCTCTATTGTCAGCGGTTTTGTTATTTCTCTGACATGGCTACAATTTCACTTGACTAATTTGTCAAATTTCCTCTGTGTCTTGAACAACAGTGTGTCAAATAATAGCACATGATTCACAGTGAACTGCTGCTGAGAAGCATAAACCGAACTCAAAGACAACATGACTGACCGGCTGGACCTCAGTGAGCTGAGTGTTTGGAGGAAGAGAGGGGGTTAATGCTGATGGCTGCTGTTTGCTTTGCCTAAGCTCCAGTTTAATTTGTTTTAACTCAGCATCCCCAAAATACTCAAGCTGGAATTCCACCACAGGGCCAAACACAGCCACTGTTTGGAGAGCTTACTCGCAGCTTTCACTTATTTTCTGACAAGAAGACAAATGCTGCAATTCAAGTGCAACTTATTTCCAGCAAAGATGATTTGTCAGCTGGGCAGCAGCTTCAGAGGAACGGACAACTGCTTTTGATCTGGGTTTACAGACATTTGGAGTCAGTACCAGCTCTGATCCTGCTCTACTCTGGAAAAGAAAGTAGTGATTCCGCCCATTACCACCACAAAACACGCTGGGTCACCAAATGCAAACAGCAGTGACATGTTCCCCATTACATTCCTGACATTACTTATCAAATCCTCCACTTTGCAGGAGACAAATCCCGCTGGCAATGTGAAAAATTAAAGAGGGGATTATGGAGGTGGAGCGTGAGGGGGTGGCAGGGTTTTTATAACACAAAAGTGTCTTGTTTGGAGATTAAAGCCTCCACTGTTCTATGACTAATCATGAACAAATAAATATAAAGTACCAGACCTGCCGTGTGGGTGAATGTATATTAGACAGCGAATATAACTTCTTGAATAAACTTTCAGTTCTTCCAGTGTACGGTTGGTTGGTTTGGGGGATGGGGAAGCAGATACTAAATTTTAGCAGCTCTACTAATGATGCCCTAGTGTGCAGACAATATGAGCTTTGAATAATTCAGCACTGAGGTATTCAGGTCCACAAGCTAATGTAAGGTTTGCAGTTTCTGAGAACTACAATGTGTGTTGGCTGACAAAACCAAACAAAATGATAAAAATGGCTAAAAAATGTGTCCGATGATTGAGCAGGTGTGCAACTCTTTTTTTAATGGGACACGGTCTGGAGAAAAGATGATAAGTCTGATACTTTTGTTAGGTATTTTTAGTCAGATAGATATTGGATAAATACTTTATGTATTAGAAATGTTTAGTGGAGATAGGATGTCTAGTTAGACTGTTAAATGCTTAGTCATGCTTATGAGTTTCTACAGGGTACATCTGGTCAAGGATAACTAGAGAGAAGAGTTGATGACTGTCAGCAGACAGGGTGTTTAATATTATTATTATGATGTGTATAACTGTAGCCTTAGCCATAATATGTTCTTATGTTTAATGTCATGACATGTCACTAGAGGTCGTGAGAATGTTTTTAGTTACACACCACTTAATCAACAGACACATGCACATTGATTTGCTTCATGTTTTGACTACTGCTATGACCAGTTGTAAAGCTGGTAACAGAGACGTAGTGGTTTGACATTTCTGTGTAGTATGGGGCTAGCCCAACCGAGGGGATATAATGTATAGGCCTGGTGGGTTCAGGGTCTTTCATCTTACATCTGCCTGCGAGCAGTTTGGAGGTGCAAGATACCTGAGCGTGTAATGTTAATTTTACCTGTGATCTTTTGAATAAATCAGCACTGTTTTGAAGTTACTTGGACTGTCTCGTCTCTCAGAGTTAGCATGGTAACAAGAACCAAAGACCAACAACTATCCGGGTCACGGCACCAAGTTGTTAACTGTGTGTCTGTTGATTAAGTGGTGTGTAACTAAAAACATTCTCACAGACCTCTAGTAACATGTCATGACATTAAACATAAGAACATATTATGGCTAAGGCTACAGTTATACACGTCATAATAATAATATTAAACATCCTGTCTGCTGACAGTCATCAACTCTTCTCTCTAGTTATCCTTGACCAGATGTACCCTGTAGAAACTCATAAGCATGACTAAGCATTTAACAGTCTAACTAGACATCCTATCTCCACTAAACATTTCTAATACATAAAGTATCTATCCAATTTCTATCTGACTAAAAATACCTAACACTTTCCACGCCAAAATGCTTTTACATTATATGTGCAGTGGTCGACGGCACATTTTTTATACAAACAGTGAAACCCTCCTCTATTCACTGCACTTTAGTGTCTGTTCAGAGGAGTTCACCCCGCAGAAGCCATTTGGAGTTCAACAGACAATGTCGTACATAAATACGCTGAGATGTACCGGACATTTTACTGTATATATGGACAGACATAACTCCCAGAAACTACATAAACAAACCAATGTTTCCCAGTTAACAGCTGTGGATGTTAAGAAAAGCTACAAGGTGAGGCACAAAATCATTTTTGGGGGTGTGTTAGTGTTTGTGTTATCTTTGGCATTACGTCCTGTCGGTGTTACCATACTGTGAATGCCTGTTTCTGGCTTGTAGCATTGTGAGTTGGCCTCACATGGTTGCAGGTCAAAACATGGAAATATTTCCAGTCTCTTATCCCATAGGACAAAAACACAGTATAAGCTTCTATCTCAAAGGTACAACTCTTTTTCTAAAGTGTAACTGTGACATTACTGCACTTTGCTGGTGTCGCACCTGTTCCTCAAAGATCTTATGTAGGTGATGCCTGTAACCTCTGCCTATACGTTTACACCTCCAAAGCAGGAAATTAAAAAATGGTGTATATTTGTGTATTTTTAAATCATTTGTATTTAGCATTTATTTATCTGTCTGGTGCATACGTTGATGTCTCGTCTGAGTAATGTAGGACAGTAATACATTGATATTCACTGAGCTATATTAGATCAGATCTCTGCTGAGTTGTATATGAATGTGGTTATGTGTACCTACCTCCTGCACACCAATTTCCCTTGACGATATTAAGGTTAAGTAAGTACGTATATACGGTATGTTAAACAATAAAATAACTGGAGACTAAGGCACACAAAAAAGCAGATCCTTTAAAGATCCTACTGTCTTTTTAAAACCTTCTCAAATTTGCTTCTATTCTGCCATCACACACTCTGCGTGAGCTGGGTTTAGGCAGGCATTTTCAAATTGAACCCTGAAGCTCACTCTCAGTTGACTGACGTCTCCCTGCCTCAGCAGCCTTGCATTCCAGCCTGTTGCACAACAAGCCTGGGCGTCTAGGATGTCATTCCCTATGCATCACCAGTCTTTCACTCTGCTAGTCTGGCAGTCCACCACCAAATGGTCAGATCCATTCTGCTGCCTGACTGAGCCAGTGTAATCCCTAATCTGCACCGTTGGTTTGAGGAGGAGAGTGAAGGGGGAGGAGCGGGGCTT